TTGGCATTGTCCTCTGCTGTGTTTGCCCAAAGAGTTCTTCACAGTTGACTGTTGAGAAACAAAATGATGTGGTTTTAAGTATCTCACCTTCAGCTCCTGAGCCTTTAAAGCAGCAGTGATTAACAGGACTTTTACAAAGTTTCTATGTAGTTACAAGGACAGTTTCAATCTTCTGTCATTTTTTTGCATTAGCTATGATTATGCTTTTACCACAAAAATGCATTTGTTCTAAAGGTAACAATACAGACTAGGAGAATAGCTTATGTTTCATCTATATTTATCAGCACTCACTGTACATTTGTGTCTTCATTACCAGGAAATATTAAGGGACATTGTGCCATCTATTCCTGTTTACAGTTTATTATGCAGAGATAGGAAACACTTAGCATGTAAAATGAATGTAGAAATTATTCCTGGATAGAAACACGGACATTTCCCACTCGTTGGCTCTTTCTCCTCCATCACCGGATCAGAGTGTAATTGTCAGTAATCAGGCCTGCTTGCTGCTGATAAAACCACTCTGAATGCTAGCAGCCTTCTTTGTGTGATGACTCAATTATTCCAGAAGTGCCTCATCAAATCTGCCCCATCAGCTGGGCTAATAAATAAGGAGAAGAAACTGGCCCCCCAAAGCAAATTATAAATCCATTTGCATTAACCATTTCGCTGGTCCATGATCTAGGCAGAAATAAGCATGGCAGATTGTGTTAAGCTTATTTGAATATGTTTATAATGTTTACAGCATGCAACTTTTTTTTTTTCCCCACAAGGTGTTGGAATTATCAGTCATGAATGGCATCTAAATGCAGTTATGTTAATTGCAGCAAGGTTTTAAGTATCTTTGAGGGCTATTTTGTTACTTAAATCAGGTAAAAGTTAAATCCTCTTGCAGGGAGAAATATGGGTGTCACACAAGTTTTTGGCATCGCTTTCCAGTTTAAGGAGAAGAGGTTTGTGTTTAATTTTTGCGGGTACTGGAAGGACAAATACAAATACTATAGTGACTGCTGGTACAAGTACAATTACTTTATATCTATCACAGTGGAAACCAGAAGTTATTTCAATGCTCTGTATCACTTCAGCAATTTGCAAAGCAAAAATTGCATTTTCTGGGAGGAGATCAGAGTTGCCATAGCACTCCTGTACTTAAAATTCCTTGAAAGATTCTAGAGGGCAGAGATTTCAAAAAGCCAGGCAAACCAGTAAAAATCAATTAAATCCATTCATGGAAATTTTGTACATTGACAAATCTTATTTTTATTCTTTTAAAATGACAAACTCTGCTGAATAACAAGAAGGCTTTTTTATATTTGAACTTCAGTCATCAGTCAGGGAAGCAAAAAAATGTTCAAAATGGATCATGAAAGGCAATTTGGTTGCCAATATCAAAGAATTAGTCTTGTTGAATATATAATGATTGAAACTCCAGACATTCTCCCTAAAAGTAAGCAATGCCATTGACCCACTTTGTCACGAGAGCTGGTTTTCCTGCAGAGTAGTTCCAGTTTTGCCGAAGCTCTTTTTTCTACCACTACTGTGATCAGGAGTTGAATAGGGGCTGATGGTAAAAGTAAAGCTGGTGGCCAATAAACAGTATTTTTCTTTTCCTAAAACAACTTAAATGAAACTCACTACTTCTCTTCATTTGCTCCAGCCAATGAAGCATATCCCCTAATATCAACCTGGAGAGCTAGGCAGAAGAAAGCCATCTTTGACCACGTAAATATATGGTGGAGATAGGCTGACATAATTTTTATGCATCAATTTCTAAATATACAATCTCTGACTGTGATGGAAAACCCAATTCTATAGCTCATTGATTAGAAATTCCAAAATAGGGGGTTTGGAGTTTCATTAGACATTTAATGGAGCTACATGTAAAATGAGAAAACAAGGAATTTAGTTGTCCAGGTTAAGATATTAAGGTTTCTACAAAATTTGACTCTAAGTTATCTTGCTGACTCATATAAAAATAAACCTGGAAACTCTGGACTGTAAAGGATTTGCTTTAACATTCAAAAAAATAAACTGAGCCAAGATAACCCCCCTTTCTCATCATTCTACCTGATGAACAATTGTTGACAACTTTAATCTTTGAAAAATGATCAGGAGATTAAGACTGTTAGAATTTGTGGAGACATGGCCTCAAAGAATAGCAGTGCTAATGTAAATATGCTGGCATTCTTCTGTTTTTATTTTACTCTTTAAGAAACTAAGTCTGAGTGGTCTCTGCAGCTTGTATTAACATTCCAAACTTCTGAGAGGACCCTGCCATGCATTTCCATCCTGACTGAAGTACAACAGTCTGGTTCCATTGGTGAGAAATTCCAAAAAGAAATTGGTGGTCGTGGTGAGCACCTTTTAGTTATTAGTTAAAAGGCTAAAAGTGTGACATATATTTCCTATTAAATTTATTGGCCCTGGGCGCCTGGGTGGCTCAGTTGGTTAAGCGACTGCCTTCGGCTCAGGTCATGATCCTGGAGTCCCGGGATCGAGTCCCACATCGGGCTCCCTGCTCGGCGGGGAGTCTGCTTCTCCCTCTGACCCCCCAACCCCTCATGCTCTCTGTCTCTCATTCTCTCTCTCGCAAATAAATACAATCTTAAAAAAAAAAAAAAGTGTTAAATTTATTGGCCCTGTCATCAAATTTTTCACTTTGAGTATAGTTTGGAGGATTTTTTTTTTTAATATTGCATTTTTTTTGGAACCACAAGTAAATCTGTGGTTCTCTGCTTAAGGATACAACTGATATACACATCATATCACTTTAGGTCTTCGCTCCCACCCCCACCCCCAGACCACCAATAAAACATAATCTGATATACCCTTTTAAAAAATAACACAGCAGATTCATTCTAATGTATCACTGGTTGAAGGAACTGTCTTTTTCAGAAGCAAGTAGTCACCCATGAAGCAGCTGTAAAGAACTGAGAGGCCCTAATTATTGGCATATAGTAAAGCAGACAAATGAAGTACTTTGTGATGATTCCATTTAACAAGTAAAGCCATGTCTTAATTAGAGAGCACATTTAAGGACCGTGTAACCCATTAGGCTACTAACACTTTGGTGGTTGTCATCTGGTTTTATCTTTTGAGATTGGTGTTTCATAAAAATATGAGCTTTAATGGAAAAGTGTTCATCCTGGTAGGGGGGATAGAATTAATGTTCTTGCCAATTGTGGGAACTTGGTCAAGATTCCAAGCCTTAAGTTAACTGTTCCAGAATGTCTATTTTCTATGAATATATTAGTAAGTCCTGAAGTTTTACAAAATGGCTCAAGATTAGTGAAAGAGATTGAAGTATGGCAATTAATAAAAATGGGTTTTATAGGTATCCCCTCGCTGAAATAATAGGACACATGTAAGGGACAGAGGGAACCAATTTCGGTGGAAGATTCCTTTTAGTAACAGCCAAGAGTGTGTTTCCAAAAAGCGGGGGTGGGGGGTGGAGTTATTAATGATAGACACATGGAATGGGAGCCTCTGAAGGGCTCAAATTTCCCATTTGTATTTTGGTGTACTTGGATTTCTCAAGCCCTTTTGTGTCAAATCATATTTCTAAACTTATATTTGTTGGCGCCCTCTGTGCACTTCTCCAAGTTGATCTCAGCTGTGCTGCCTTAACTCTTCTCCCCAGGGAGAGGAGAGACAGCAGATGGGGTTAGGGCAGAGGGCTGATGCATCTGACAGCAAACGGCCGGGTTGTTGAGTGGAAGCTGCCAGCGTTAGGAAGCTACTTTTCCCCTGAGAACCAACTAACCACTGAAGAAAGTTGAAAATGAGCCCTTTGAGAAACGCTATTAAAAGTAGTAAAAAATTGCAATTGTGCAGATGATGTGCTGCTGTGTGCTTATTCGGATGCTAATGAGTTTGACATTAGGGAACTCAGAGGGTTTACAGCTACTCCCTTATGTGATTCAGTTCTTTATTGGCAATCTTTGAGAAAATAAATGGAAAATGTATTGCTAATAAATACATAACACGATAGGGTATTAGACAAAAAGCCATTACTTTCAGGATTTAGAAAGAGCTTTGCTCACCAGTGTGACTGTTTTCCAGGATCTTTTGTTTTAGGTTAGAGTGTGACAAACAAAAGGGTATAGGCAGGTGGAAAGCTTCGGGACTCTTTCTGAACTGAGAAGAGTGAAGTAGAATCAGCCAAACGCCATTTGTACAGAAAGCCTTTTTTTTTTTTTTTTTTTTCCAGTTGCAGTCAAACACAAACTAAGAATTCCCAAGCTACCATGCCACTTTTCAATTCTGACATCATGTTCAATAATCTGCTCTATCACTTGAGAGAGTTTTATACCTATTTTTCCCCAGGAACTACAGTTGCTGACTTGAGTTGAAGAAGCATCTGCTTAATGTCTGGTCAAAGCTTACAAGCAATACAGAAATCTATGGTTAAAAAGCCAAGCACTTCAATCTACTGCAAAGGGTAAAATACAGGAAGATAGAAATCTTCTACACGGAAGGTTGGTGGCTTGTGTTTTAAAATGCCAGAACTTCCAGATATACACACTTTAGATGTGCATTGATATATGTGATATTTGTATAAATAGTCCCTCTCTAGGATGCTGAGTGAAATTATGCTGAATTTCAAAGTTTTCTCTGAAGAGCCAAATGGCCTGAAGACAGATTCTCTTCCCATCCCTGGGACAAAATAGATGTGAAGCAGCTCTTCACATCTATGTGTTATGTCTGAATGCAAAGTAAAACAAGGGTAAATCATTTCTATGGAAAGCAGGTTAAAATATTGGCAAAAATCATTAGTAGCATTTTATGACAGTCTCATTAAAGAGAGCTCTAAACAACAAAAGGATGAATTTTGAATCTGTCTTTTGTGATTTCTTGAGTAGAGCACTTTCCAAATCTTGTCTGAACTTCTTTTGGTGGTTAAAAGTAAAAATACTAGTGATAATCGTAAAAATACTAGTAATAGATAATACTATCCAATTTATCTACCAAATTGAGATGTAATATATATAGGTCAGTAGTTAAGACAAGAATGAATGTGGCTACCTTTAAAAACGTAGAAGTCTTTTTCCGATTGATATTGTAGTATAAAATCTTTCGTTCTGTCTATGGTAGAGCCCAACCAGATTATAGGTAGAAGTGTCAATGCATTATTGTTCACGTCAGTGTGTACTACTGATCTTCTGTTTAATTTGACATGCCTTCCTTCTTTTATTTTTGATTTAACAGAATGAATTTAAGGACTTCTCACTGAAGTGGACAAAGACATTTAGTCACTTTGACAGAGCAGGGCAAACCAAGTTGGCAGACAAGTTACCTGGAGAAAAAGAGAGGTAAGGCAACATTTTGTATTAAAAAGTAGAATCTATTGAAATAAAATGTATCCAATCAAAGCATTTATATAAATGCTCTCCTTTATAACAGCATTTTATGGATTTGCTCTGAAAGAGATTTATTGTTAGTGCTGAATTTGGAATTGGGATTTTTGTCAGAGCATGGTCACTTTAATATTTAAAAATATTAAGCAGGTGGAGTCCTTTTGCATATTGATTGGTTTATGTTATTTGCTCATACATGTTTACCCTTAAAGAAAAGTTCAGCATTAAAATTGTCTTAAAAATCTATTTAAATTCATTTGTGTTAGAAATTAGTTTACTGAAGGATTAAGAATAAACAAGTGAGATAGTTTAAAAGCATGTTTTTAAAAGCACTATAGATGACTTCTGAAGTTAATTCCTACAAACACTGGAAAATAAGGAATTGAGTTGTCCTTGGGAAAAACCTATTAAAAATAATTTATCCCTCTATGAAGGAGCTTGTCTTCTAACAATTACATATTTGTACACATGTACCTCAATATATCAGCAAGAAAAAAAAATTAAGGCCCTTTTAAGTTATTACTTACTGAGTTATCCTTAAACAGGGCATATTTAAAAAATACACAAAAATTCTCTTAAAACGTAAAGCTGGCGATTGCCCCCTTATGTCACAAAGCTGTGACTCAGAGGCCGTAGTACAGCGACTAATAGAAATCTTTGGCACACGTTGGCTACCTAAGGGAATAATAGAACTATTTGCTGGAGTCGTTTGGCAAAAGGACACAAACATATGGCTTTGGTTTATATTCAGCTTTGCCAGTTGTGCGAAGTTACAGGATGAAGTCGACAATAGCAGTGACAACTCAGAAATGAGAAATGAGACTCAAAATAGAACAACTTCCTTATAAAGCTACCCAAGCTTGTCTCAGGTCTAAGAGTTCTTTTACTGGAGTGCATTTCCAAGTGACTCTGGAAATCCCTCTGAAAATCACCTCCTTATCTAAGGGGAATGGGCATGTAGTTGGCTCTCAGAAAGAAGAGTTTCCCAGAGAACTGCACTTTTTTTTTTAATCTGATGGTGGACTGAGTCTACTTCTTCCTTAGTTGTGGTATTTGTCAGAGTGAGAAAGATTAGGGCAGACGAGAGAGGTATCCTAAATCTAAAGGGGACACATCATTCAATTCTCTAGCTTTCCGTACAGAATCAAAGATAGTATAATTAGAGACATATAGGTAAGAACAAGGAGTTGGAATCAGAGATAAGGATAAAGGATTCAGAAAATTTTCATTTTATCTAGAATAAAGGATTCAGAGAAGGTTGAGAAAATTAATGTGACATCTTGAATGATGTAAACAACAGTTTTTATTAGTTTACATTTTTTTAAAAATCCATTTTTTGATGTACTCTTTCTGAGAAATTAAGAAACATATGAAAAGAAAACCAGAAAAGTAAAAAGAGGGTCAGAACAGAGAAAACAAATACTTGAACATTCCATCTCAATATTCTCTCAACAAGTAAACTATTCTTTTAGTATCACAACTCATGTTCCCCATCCTTTCCCTGTATAATAGGGAGACAGCTTTTGCTGCCATTTTGGGCAGATCCAAACCTGTATTTAAAAGAAAATGATGCCAGAAATCAGCAAAAGAAAGGGCACTCAGTGTAAGATTCTTTGTTCTTCAATCTGGCCAAATTTCATTCTAAGATACTGGCATCCTCCAGTTGTTTCATTTTCTGGGTTTAGCCTTTCCAACTTCCTGAGTTTCTCTCTGTGATTTTTTTTTTAAAAAATTGATTTTTGTAAAGGAAGCATCCACTGAGGATAAAAGGCTCCTCATGGAGAGGACCCCAGGACCTCTTCTCGGCAGCCATAGAGCTTCCTCTCTCCATTGCCACATATGCCCTGGACTTGAAATGACATCTAACAAGAGTCATGTGGCACAATCTACAAAAATGCATTGCCAGTACAAAGCTCTGAGGAGGGAAACACAATGAAATCTTGTTATAAGTGGAAATTATTGCAAGTTGAGTGTATGTGAAGGACTTCTCAAATTAAAGGTAGCTACCGTCACGAGATTATGTGTAAGTAGACACTATTAAGATTAATTCCATCAGGATTTTGAGAAGGTGTGCTTGAAACGCTATGATCACTATGGCTTTTTATATGAATAATAAGAAATTCAAGACTACTTATATATATTTCTATCTATCTATCTATCTATCTATCTATTTATCTATCTATCTATCTATCTACCTATCTAGAACATCAGTGTCTACAGTTCTGTTGAGAGGAAAACTAAAACTTCAACATCACCAAGAGATATTTTTTATCCAGTTTTTAAGAAATGATTAAATATTTACTTGGAGATTTTTTATTTTTTTACCATTAGGTTAAAATAGGATTTTGAGTGACAAATAAAATCAAAGGGAACTTTGTGTGACTGAAAGCAAAACTGAGTTTATAAATTCTGTGTCCTGCTCCTTGAGGCTCTCCTTCCCACAAACCAGAGATTTCAGGACTCTCTCTTCAGCCCAGAAGAAGGCTCCAGATCTGTGCACTGGGGTGATGTGGACAGGAGATCTGCTGATTGCCCCTGATGTGAGTGCCAGTAAGAAAAGATGGTCAAGTAAAAGTAACTAGGAATTTATGATGTGCACCTGTATACAGGTTTGTGAGTATATAAGGATGTTAAGTAAGGGGTTTCCAAATTCAACTAAGTAGTTAAATTTTATTTTATGGTCATTTTTCTTCTTCATTGCCTATCTACTTATTACTTGCCGATTCTTGCATATCCTTCCTGCAAGTTTCACTTCTTTGCCTTCTTTATCTCATAAGTTTCTTTCCCTCTTGCCATTTCTCCTCGTATTAACTCCTCTTCCCAGAGAACTGGGGAATGAAGTCTTGTAAAAATTTTTTCATGGCTTTATTATGAATACCAGGTAAGAGCCACTTTTTCCTCCTTTTCACATATTTATACATAAAATTTTCATACTTGTAGGTTAGATGAATTTTCTTAAAGTAGTTTCAGATCAGGAAAAACAAATGGCAAAGCCTGCCTTCAATATTTTATCTCTTTCGAGGAGTAGATTATCAGAGCCAGGAGGAACCCATTACAGGGATCTCAGAAAATATCTCGATGTGTTCCCATTCATAAACAATGAAATGAGGTAGACAAAGGTTCTAAGAAACCTCAAAAAGGACAGCTTTTTTAGAAAATCACATCTCTGTTTTGAGAAAGAAAATGATTCATTAAGTTTTGCCAAATTCATTGGAGACTTGTCAATAGCATTTGGGACTTCAGCAGTAAAAATGATCAAGTCTCCTCTTCCAACAGGAAAAAAAAAAAAAAAATGTTCCCAGTGAGAAGTGTAGCTTCCCAGATTGTAGCACGTGTTAATTAGGTCAGTCTCCTGAATCATGCCATAGCTGTGGGCCTTCTCTATAGGTCTGGAAGAAGTTGAAAGGATGGGAATTCCACCCCCACCCCCACCCTGGCACACTCACCCCAGGTATCAACACATGCACTGAGATAGAAATCTCTTTCCACATTTAATGCACCATTCCCAGAACAAGGTACTCACTGAATATGAAGTTTGATTTTATAAAAATTAAGTCTGCTTATTGGGAGTTTATTAAAGTCCACGAGAATAGTCCATATAAAAAATGCTTAGAAATTTCTACGCCCATATATAAGGTTTTAGAAAACAAAGACTTACCTTCAGATTGAGATCTGTCAGGAGAGAAAGCCATCTCATGAATGTTAAAAACTTCCACCCCTAAAAAGAAAGCACATTGCTTTAGGTTTCTGAACTTCTTATTCCTCAGTGAGCTATCAGACATGAGTAGACACTGAACTTAGTAACTTTTATTGTTCTTTGGTTGTGAAACAGAGAAAGAAGGTGAAATCGATGGATTATATATTATGGCCTCGATCCATTTCATTCATACAACTTGGCACACAAGTTAAACTTGAAAACTTTGCTTTATGGATGATTTACCAGTCTTTAAAATGTTTACATGGGATATATATGCTACACCATCAAGAGAACAATAGTGCCACAAAATACAATTATGAGGCTAGCATTCCAAGCATAATCAAGCAGAGGTCCATGAATATTTATGCATTCCTTCCAATGACTTTAATGGGGAGGCGGCTGCATGGGGTGGTTGCAGACATGTCAGGTCCAAAGGGATAGCTGAATTGCAAAATGGAATTAGTCTTAAAGCTGTTATAAGGAAGGTTCCATATAAGTATGTTTCTGAAACTTTTATATGTGCCTGCTGGCACTCTTTGCAACCTGTGTTTCAGTTTTGGTAAAGAAACTCATGGAGTTCAATCTTCACTTGCCTTTAGGGAGAGATTTTTCCGAGTGGTTGGGGAGACCTCACAGCACCTGTGTGGCAGGAAAATGTCAGAGTTGTATTGAGTTGCTACTCACCCGTAGAATTAGCCTCCTCAGAAATAGTTGGTGGTTTTCATCATTTTAACCCTCCTGCTACTGATCTCTCTTAACTGAGTTACTCATTTAGCCCATGGAGGGGAGTTTGCGTGAGTTGAGCCACTTTATATGCAACAGAGATACTCACGGAAGAGGAGGATTTCACAACGCAGTGCTCACCATCCTGAGTAAACCAAGCCATTTTAATCCTAGGCAGTATCACATCTGTCATAAATTCATGTGGTTTTAAAAGAAGGAAAATCTACAGGAAAAAAAAAATCACCTCTGTTTTATTATTGTTTTCTCTTATTATGTGGTTTTAAAATATTCATAACGATGGACCATTTTATTTAGACTAAAGCAACTTCACTTAGCAAAAGCAGTGAACACTTTTTGTTTGCTAATTTAAAAAACAGTTCAACGATTGGTGTGGTGTTTATTATGAAATGATGACAAAAGAGTACCGGTGGTTTTAATAGTTTTAGCTTACAAGAGCTGTCGTTAATTTTGTCTGTAGTGTTGCAGGTGAAAAAATGCACAATGGATAAATAGTCTATATTGGTTTAACTGAACATAATATATAGTGTGTTCTGGAGTTGTTTGTCTCAATAGACTATAGTAATCAAAAGTAATGAACCTATTATGTGCAGGACCTTGGAGAGCGTCGAATGGCAGTAAAAGTGTGGCACATAAAAGGTTTATTAAAGGAAATTAAAGTCCATCATTGCCACACCTGCTCCCCTATTATAAGTCTATGGCAGGTCAGTGCCTTCAATCACAACTCAGCCTGAGAGAGCAGAGATGCGCCTCCCATTACCATCGCAGTCATACCACATCCACGCTAGTGTCAGGATGTAAGGATAGGCACCACGGACAGTGCCTTCTGGCTGCTTCTCAATTTCAAGCAAAATAACTTCTCTCCATTTAAGAACTCCTTCTGATAATGTGCAAAGGTGAATTAAACTAGAGATTATTGGGAAGATTCTAGTGAAACCAATGGGAGTAGTCATGTCTGACTATCTTCAGAGGGACAAAAACAGCAGGCTTTTAAAGTCTTTCCATCCTTTCGATAGTTCATTTGATTACATTTAAAATATTTAGTAATGATGTTTTAGGGAGTTTGATGTTGACATGTGCAGCACTCAAATTTCACTTTCCTTACAGATTTGCACAATTATAACCAATATTTATTCTGGAATTCTGGGAGTAAATATATATCATTTAATGATCAACGTTTCCAGTGTTATTTTGAAAAGGGAGCATTTCAGGAATTTGCCTTCATGTTGCTTTTTTGCACAGGGGATTATTTTTCCTGAATTAGAAAGAGGTGCATATCAGACAGGGTCTAGAAATGCAAAGGAATCAGGTTTTAGTAAATTAGTCTGAAACCTTTTGGTTTGGCATTTGAGGTTTTGTCTCCTTTACAACCACTGTTAAGCAGACAATCCTTTTCTTTTTTCTTTTTTTTCCCCCTATTTTTGTAATGCCAGAAGTGTTTGAATCACTAGCAAACACTTATGGACAAGGACATCTGCCCTCTTGTCACTGTTCCCTCTGGTTTCAGCATCTATAAAAGTATTTCCAAAACTCATGTACTGCAAGGGCAGTCGCAGCTATATACCTGCCAAGGCAGGGTGCTATTCAAGAGCATGGAAGGCTACTCTATTTTTCATTATGACCTTTAGAACTTGCAAGGACATGTTTTCGTATTTTGGTCAATGTCAAAGGAATGACTTCAGGACTTTGTGTTCATGTTACAGATGGATGCAGAAGCTGAAGATAAAACGCTGCGTACCCGCTCTAAAGGAACCAAGGGTGAGTTAGCAAGCAGGTTCCATGACACCGTGCCCATCACACCATAAAGTATGGGAGTTCCAATGCTCAGTCCCTAACATGTAGTCCGAATGATTACAACTTCCTCAGGGCTTCTTTTTTTAAATCAAGCTAGGACATTCGATCATGGCATTAAAAGGCAAAATATTATGAACCAGGAGCTAAAGGACTCAGAAAAGTCCCAATGTGTATGATGCTAATTTTTACAAAATGCAATCATGAGTAGATTTAAAACATCATGCAAAACAACATAAGGGTCAGAAGGGAAGAATGCTTCACGAAGACCTCCAAATTATTGAAGTGACCTTTAATGGCCAAGGGAAAAAACAGAATTGTTAGTTTACTGCCAAAGCAGATTTTGATTTTTATGTTATCTGGTTTAGTGGCTCCCAATCTAAACTTAGTTCAAGTAAAATGATGATGTTTGTTTTTTGCCTGTCCCTGCTGGGAATTTCCGGCAGCTCCGCAAAGTAATGTTTGAAAGGTTTAACTTGCCGGTTATCCTTCTCTTTTTGTAACCAACAGATGGTAATGTAATATTGAAATATAAACAGGCTCTTGATGATCTAAACATCTGGAAAACAGAATTGACTGGCAATAATACCCCTTAAGGAAAATAACTTTTATTATAATTAGCTATATTTTTGTGACCCTTAATTCTAAATGGACAACTGTAGTTTCACCATAGCCTCTGAAAACGCTCTGGATAGCCGTTCCCCACCCGACTCTTCTCCCGGTCAGCCTTGCTAAGGAAGGGTTTTTGAGATTTACCATTGAAAGTGGCTAATCAGATGAAATGCTTTCCTTAGCTATGTTTATCTTTGTGGTCAAGGTAAATAATGGCTGTTTGAGTAAAGTCCAGAATCCCAAAATTTTTAATAAATTCCAAGATGATTTTTTTTCAGTTAAAATGTAACCATGGTTATTATTAGTTATGATAAACAAAATGCAGAATAATGCTGTACAAGATGCAGGAACTTTCTCTACCCAAACAGAAGTTTTACACCATGTTAGTGCCCAGTTTTACTTCAAGTTACATTTAAAGTAATTACATCATATATCCTAATATTTGGAATGCAATAGTTCTAAACATTAAATTTTTATGCAACAAACTTCTCAATAGAATACAAGTTGAAGAAAAAAATGATTTGAATTGTTATTTAGGATAAGCTCACATCTGCTATAAATACCAGCATTCTAGGGACTGTATTTGGATTATACGAATCCCTTGTTTTGACTTCTAAAAGCACACTATTCTAGCATACTTTTAAAATGTGGGTCTTTTAATTTGCAATTCTTTTTGTACTTTGAATTCTTTGGCACGTAATATACACCCTTAAATAGAGCCAAAATGTTCTTCTAGAAATGAAACAACTGTTTCTCATGCGGCATGAGTAATCTTTCAAACCACCTGTTGTCTTTCTCAATATGCTGCTTATCCTTGTGTAGGCAGGTATTTATAAACATGAACTTCTTTAATTCCCATCACTTGTCAGAAAAAAGATCAAAACTCTTTTTTCTACAAGATTCTTATTTTTAAAACGATGTTGATACTAACATCGCTGAAGCATATCTTTCTCTTTCTATACATATAAAACTTATGGAACATAATCTTGGGACACATTCACTTAGTAAAACTTTCCCAGTTTTGTATAAATACTTGTTTAATGTCAATAAAAGTGTCAGTTAGGATTCTTTTGAAAAATTTCATATAAACAATAAAATTGATTTAAAATATAATTCAAGTCCTCCATGTTCTTGTATGTTTTCAATGAATGTTTAAAGATGGGTATTTGGAAAATCCAATCCATGAATGCAAGGTCCCAGGGTCACCTAAGGCACTAAACCCAGAATCATCTGTTCTGGGCCATATTCATCTATCCACTGGTATCCACTTCAAAGAACCAGAACCAGAAATGATCCATTCACCCAGTGGGAAGTTAAGTGGGGTCTGGATTAACCATTTATTGGTCATTATCTCTAGGTGGATGAAAAGTTTCAGTCAAACAGTTTTCAAAATTACAAACTGATTTTTCTCCTTTCTTTTCGTCAACAGTGCCAATAGATTCTCTAATTCAGGAGCTCAGGTAAGATTTGTCCCACGTTACTTTTTCTAGTATCGATTTGGCTTTAATTATTAGAATGTTTTTGTACATTTCAAACCTGAGAATCCCTGTGGTAGTAGGAGGAATAGGCCAACAGGCTTATTAGTCTATACCCCAAAGGAGAAGAGAAAGGGAAATTTGATTCAATTGATTCAAAACAATTAGGGCTCCCATTTTGATAACAAAACACAGCAACATTTTGCTGTAATGTAGTTTCCCACTTTCCTCCGTGGAGTGTTTCCCGTTTCTGTGCTCACACCTCGCCTGTGGTTGGTTTGTGCACTGGTTATGAGTGAAGAACTGAACTGTCATCTGTGACCCTGATCAACAAATGACCCAAGTTCCAAGTTCTCCAGTTTTTGTTATAAATGATTAGATAATTCTATTATATAAATTTTTAAATGTAGTCATTGGAAGACAGTAGGTTTGTGGGTGTGTCCATGCATTTCCAGCTTAGAGACTATGAATGCACCTAAGACAATGTTATGGAAATTCCATCATAAGAGGTTTAGCAGAATAAACTCCGATTAGTTGTGGAGTTTGTTTTGTTTTGTATTTTGCAGAGTCTCTGTCAAGGTGTAATTTATTATTTTTTTTAAAGTACATTCAAAATAGAAACACATGCTGACATACATATTTTGTACCGGTGGTATTTTTTAGAGAAATTGTGTCAGGAGCAAGATGAGTCCTTTGTCCCTTTTCCCTTGTTTGCTATTGCAGTCCCAGAAAGTCTCAAACCTACCATCTAATCCACCTTTCTGAAAACAACAATGGTCTATATGTGTTTCTTGGGGAAATGTTTGAAAACAGGAGGATGTAGAACAGCATTTGGTACACCTTGAAATTTACACTGTATCCATGAACAGTTTACGTGGTTATTTTTCCAGGCAACTGTGTTCTGTGATTTCCTGAAGCAAAGGCTCTCTTAGTTACTTCCATGTTTCAGAGGATTCGTTCTGTCACAATTTTGGTTCACTTATTTAGTGGAACACCTATTTATCAGAATGGAGTACAAGCTTTCACGCTGATACTCTTCTCTGCGGAAATTTGTTAGTAGGCAATCCCTGATCCTGCCTACATTTCCAATTTCGTGATTGAGAAGTTTACATTTTACATTTTAAATTACTTGAGCAGAAAGGAGAATGCACCCACACATCAGGGCAGGATTAAATGAATGAAGTGTCTGACTTACTTAATTTCTTGTTTTTAAATCTGCTCTCATTTAAAATTCCTATCTGCTTGGAGACTTTATGTTCCCTATAGAATGAGCAAAAGAAGTTTAAAATGATCAAGGGCTTAAAGTGCATGAGATGTTTCCCTATTAGGCAATGGTTTCCTAGTGGTCCGAGCAGAAACAGGGCACCCAGGAACTCATGGTCTTCGCCCCCTGTAGAAATGACTGTGTCTCCAGTCAGTCTTTTTAGGGAATCAAACCATTCTTGGGAGGGAAGAGGGCCTTTTGAGTGATATGTCTTAAAAAATAACTTGAAAAGAAAAGAATTTTGAAAGAATGAGTGAATGTGTATTTTGGCTTAAGGAGAAATCTACAATTCATAGAGGAAAAGGGAGGAATTAGCAGAGAGAAGCAACTTTGTAGGGAAAAAATGTTTAATATAAACTTTCTGGAGAAATAGAGATTACTATTTAAGCACACTGTTAGCTTTAGTAATTACAATAAAACTAATATATATTGAGGTCTTGTTGTGTACCACACTCTTGAGCATTCTTTTCACATTATTATCTCATTTAATCCTCACAATAAACTTATAAGTTAAGAACTATGGTTTTCCAATTTTCAGATGAAGAAAGTGAAAATAACTAGCCCAAGATTACACAGCTAGTAACTAGTCCAGACTTCTGACTCAGGCCAGGTTCTCGACCACCAGGCTATGCTTTCTCTCATACACAATTAATACTAACCATCTAGAATATAAATCAAAAAGAAATGGTTTATTCATATTGTCAGCAGCTGGATTTTTGAAATTCTATATTTTAAACTTTATGGCCTGTTTTTCAACAGCTTAGGTTTCTGAAATTGAAACAAAGAAGATATTTTGATTAAAAGTAAAAAATATTTCCTATTTTCCAAATTATTTTTTTCAGATATTCAATTTTACCTAATTTGTCATTAGCCCAACTCAGAAAGCTGGTGATAATTGCTGGGAAAATTCATAAGCGAAACCAATTCACCTATTTTTCTTTAATAAGAACCAATTATTTAATTTTATAATTACTTATTTTCAACAAAATGTTCATGCTTAGGCCGAATAGGTTCCAAATGATTTCTTACGTGATTTAAGTTGACTCAGGTATAGACCTGAACTATCATTCTATGTAAATCTTGGGAAAACATTCCAATTTATACAGAAGGTTATATTTTTAGTGTCTTTGACATTTTTGTATGACTTTATCCATTTGCTACAATTGCTCCTCCAATTTATTCTGCAGATTTGTTATGCTCCGGAATCTAGAATTTTTGTGCACCTGAATTCTGAGTATCTTAGGATATGTGGCACATTTTCCCCAGTGTAAAAGTTATGGCCATTTTCTAGGGAATGTTGGCAACTTTATTTAGTTCTTCTTTTTAGATGCATTGGACATGTTATTGCTTCTAGAGCTACTACTTACAAAAATACTAATACAAATGAAGCTAATTTAAATATACTGTATATTGTTCATGACACTAATAAAAATTGATAGTGACATTCTCATCTTCTTATTATACTCTATGTCAGCTACTATCATCACCATTAAAAAAGCAATTTATAACCACAGGCCCACCTTTAATCACATTCCTTATTAGCATTTCCAGTCTTTCCTCCAACACAATTCAGGTTACAGGTGGTGTTGAGAAGGTGCTCTCATGTCCTTCTAAATCATGACCATTGTGTTATCTCTGCTTTTCTTTTATTACTATTATCCTTAATCTGATCTGAATGCTATTGCATCTACTAATATTGGTAATTGTCTCATGCATTGGCAAAGTGTTTTACACCAATCCAGCCCTTTCCTCTAATTAGGAAAATATATTCTAGCCTCTGAAATGGCTTTCCTATGTGACTACTTAGAGACACAAATGAATTCAAGACTCTTAAGTGTATTAGAGTCAAATCCCACTGTCCTTTTGTGGTCTTATTGCTGCTTACCAATTTGTTGGCAAGTTTTGTAATGAAAATTACAATTTAGGTGTCTCTTTTCACTTTATTTTATTTTGTATAATTTGTTTCTTTATTTAAAAACCATGTCATTTGGCATTTTCTTGTAAGTTTTAAAATGTTAAGTATTTTATAAAGTCTGTAATCAATAGGCTATAGATTTAATCATAACATTTAATCAGCATGTGAAAAACTTGTGACTTACAGATTTAGATAGCTTTCTCTTTTTTCTTCTATCTTATTTCATTCACAAGAGTTTTTATATCAATTAAACATTTTACTTAATACTTAATAGCTTTCTTCCCAATTTTGGGGTGGGGGAATAGAGTTTCTTTTTTTTTTTTTTTAAGATTTTATTTATTTATTTGAGACAGAGAGAATGAGAGACAGAGAGCATGAGAGGGAGGAGGGTCAGAGGGAGAAGCAGACTCCCTGCCAAGCAGGGAGTCCGATGTGGGACTCGATCCCGGGACTCCAGGATCATGACCTGAGCCGAAGGCAGCCGCTTAACCAACTGAGCCACCCAGGCGCCCTAGAGTTTCTTTTAATAAGTACGATTTCATTGCAACTACTTGTTGCACAGAGATTTCTGGAGATGACAACTGAAGGAAATAAAATAGATATAAGTGGATTTCTAAAATTAAGAGTTCCATAAGTCCATCATCCACATTAAAGGAAATAAGTAGCTGTAATCACAAGGTTGGATAAAAAAATCACAAGGTTAATTGCTATGATTTCCAAATGCAGAGCTCAGTTCATGTTTTAGATTTTTTATAACATATCTACTACATTCATTTTAGCAATATGTCTTTCTAAATATTGTTGCCAAACCTATAAATTGGAATCCAAAAACCTGACACCTTAAAGAAAACTCATTTTATGATAGGCCACTTTGGGGGCAAGTGAGATTGATAACCGAAGCAGCGGATGATAAAGATTGGATGTAGAAGAGAAATGTCCATCTGGGGGTGCCTGAGGCATTATTGTTTATTTGCCCACTCTCCGCCTTCCTCATCCTCACCTCTGGGTAATGGGTAGGCTGTTGTTGGACATGTGACGTTGAGGCATAAGATGAGTTAATCACTCCAGAGAGATAATTTTGTTTACTCTACTATACTTATAGGGACAGAGAGTGTCTTAAAATAGATTAGGGAGACTTCCAATAAGAATGAAATTTAGGGCGCCTGGGTGGCTCAGTCGTTAAGCGTCTGCCTTCGGCTCAGGTCATGATCCCAGGGTCCTGGGATCGAGTCCCATATCGGGCTCCTTGCTCCGCGGGAGGCCTGCTTCTCCCTCTCCCACTCCCCCTGCTTGTGTTCCCTCTCGGGCTGTGTCTCTCTCTGTCAAATAAATAAATAAATTCTTTAAAAAAAAAAAAAGAATGAAATTTAAAAAAGAGTTTGTTATGTAACAAGAAAATCTCATTAACCATAATTCTATCATATATTTATGTACTTACATAGCCTTTAATAACATTTGGCACTAAACCTGCCATTGAGTGGGCTTTCAATAGGTGCCTGTAGAGTGATTGGTTGAAAGAACACACAGTGTCTAATTGGATCCATACAAGCTGCCTGGGAGGTAGTCAGGACAAATGACATTAGCCACATTTAACTCATGAGCTGGGGAAGTTAAGTGATTTTTACAAGGTGTCTGAGTAATTAGTGACTGAACTAGAAGTAGAACTTAGGTCCTATGTGTGGTCCAGGGCACATCCCATATTTCCCAGTACCCAATGCAGCCTCTGTATTATTTTCCACTACTGCAAGCCCTCATATTCCAAGCCCACCCCCTCCTGTTTTTGTTTGTTTGTTTGTTTGTTTTTACTTTTTAGAGCAGTTTTAGGTTCACAGAATAACTGAGCAGACGCTGGAAGGTGTAGGAA